CCCGTCACCTGTAAAGAGCAAAGGAAAAAGTTCTTGGCTGTTGGAAAAGCACTGCAGATCTGGAAAAGAGACCTCTGCTTTACCAGGCAGAGGCCCTTTCTTTTATGGGAGGAAAGCATTTCTCTCATAGCCAAAGGAATGCTGAGGCACAGCATCCATGGACCCTACAAATTCCCCTTTCTATCTTAGGGTTATTAAAGAGCAAATCCCAGTTTCAGGAGGGATGCAGGTCATGGAAACTGCTGCTGACAAACTGAAGTGGTTTCCCCAGACCAAGCGACTGTAGCATGACTATGATGAAAGGAGTTAACAGACACTGAAATTGTTCTATTAAGTGGATTTGCCAGAATTTACTGATTATCAAACCTCATTAGCCGGGGACTTGTACTCCATGTTCTTACCCAGTTGCTGCCTGCTGCCTGCTGGATACACGGAGGGATGCTGGAGAGATTATTTCTAAGCCCTTCCCCCTTCCCTCTCCCCTCCTCTTCCAGGACCACATCGACAGTCCCGGGGGAAAGAGAGGAGGGACAGGGAGAGGGCAGGATCCACCAGCTCTCCTGCAGCATCTTCCACCAGGAAAGCCCAGGAGAGGAGCTGCCGCTCAGGACACCTTTGGGAGGATCCCTTAGCACAGCATATGCTACATCAACACACCCGGCTGCTTTCCCCTTCCAGGAAAGAGGAGAAGGAGGGAGAGGAAAGAGCTCCAGAGTGCTCCAGGGATTTTCCATGTAGCCAGAAGCGGACGATGCCCCCGGGAGCTGCTGCCGGCCCCTGCTCCGTGTGCGGCAGGTGAGCATCACCTGCGGGGCAGCCCCGCTCCGCCCGCTGCCCCTGCTCCCCTGGTAAGTCACTTCGGGAAACTTTCCTTGCACTTTGCACTTCTCCAACTTGCGGTGAAAAAAAATGCTTTTTAATTTCTAGGGACAGCGGGCAAAAACTAGGGGTTTGTCTCTGAAAGGAGAATTTAAATTTCAATTCTCCAAGCTGGAAAAAACACTTTCTGCTTGGTTTTCTCCGCGGTGGGCAAAGGTCCCCATCTAACTCCTCACTAATTCGCAGTGGCACGAGGTCGGGTTGATCAGAACAGACATCATTTAGACAGAATTTAAGGCATTTTTAAACCTCTCCCAGCTAATCCTCGCAATCCCCCCTCGAGGCAGGGCAGAACGGGCGTGCAGCGAGAGGCAGAGGAATCACGATCTGAGCAGTCCCGTCAAAGCAATTAGAACTCGGCAGGTAATTGACCACTCTCGCTAATAACTATTAAGCAGCTTAGTTGAGTTAGAGTGTGGTTAGGGGTTTATAGAAATAAGAAAGCGAAGCGACAACGAGCGGAAAATAAGGATGTAAAAATAAGGATGTACCGGTGGCCAGCGCTGCTCGAAGAGCCCGAGGTGCTCCCGTTGGGATTTGCAGACACCCCAGCCTCGGTGATAATTATGAATGAGGCTGTGGCTCTGCTCCGTGCCTGGGCTGCCAGACAACCAATGAGGCTGCAAAGCAAAGCTCATTCACGGGCTGCAGCTTCCAGGGAGAAGCACAGAGGTGACTTTTACTTACAAAACATTGATTTCCTGATTGAGGAAAGTGGCTGGAAACACCTTTTCCCTTGCAGTAACCTCTGCTATGTTTTCTCCTCCTGCCTGTACCTTCTGGCTGACAGATCCCCCTGCTCTGATGCCACTCTGGATGTCCCGGTGAGAACTCTTAGAGATGCCTATTCTCTCCAGAGGCAGCGACCAAGACTATAGCAACATTAGCTACAACTCCTGCAATTCCTTGAGCCACTTCCTTCCCATCTGCGTGGAAACCCCTTCTGTCAAGGGGGTCCATTACCAGAGAGCCAGGAGGATTTACCGCCCTGACCAAGTGTCTGCAGCCGACCTGAAGACAGAGATCATGATCAACGTTGGAGGCATCAAATACCTGCTGCCCTGGAGTACTTTAGACGAGTTTCCCCTGACCAGACTGAGCAAGCTAAAGCTTTGCAGCAGCTATGAAGAAATCATCCAGCTGTGTGATGATTACGATGAGGACACCCACGAGTTCTTCTTTGACAGGAACCCCAACGCTTTCGGGATGATTGTCAGCTTCCTAGCAGCGGGGAAGCTGATGCTCTTGAGAGACATGTGTGCCTTGTCTTTCCAGGAGGAGCTGAGGTACTGGGGCATTGAGGAATCCAACCTGGAGAACTGCTGCTTTCGGAAACTGTTCCAAAAGCTGCAGGAGTTGGCCGAGATCCGCAAAGAAGAGGAGCTCCGGAGGAGCAAGGAGGCTTCATGTGTCTTGGATGAGAAAACCAGATTTGGGCAGTTCATGAACAGACTCAGAGATATGGTGGAAAATCCCCAGTCAGGACTGCCAGGCAAAGTTTTTGCTTGTCTCTCCATCCTCTTTGTGGCCACCACAGCTGTCAGCCTTTGTGTGAGCACAATGCCAGACTTAAGAGCTGAAGAAGACAGGGTAAGTCAGTCCTTCTTAACTGGTCTAACCACAGAGCTGAAGGCACAGTCTGGGACAGAAAATGCAGCTATGGCTCAAACTGGTTCTCTCATTTTCAAGTGATATCATGTTAAGGATAATGGGAACAAATATTATACTGATTTTTAGCTAGAATACAAGAAAGCTTTTGGACAGAGCAGATATTTCAGCTCTTCAATATAGATGGTTTTTCCTTCTTGAGAGGCAGCTGCCAGTGTAAGATTAACTTGTTAGCACTGACTCTCAAACTGACATTGTGGAGTTTTCAAGATGCTTCACTCTCTAGTTACAGGCAATCTTTCCTTTGGACACATCAGCTACAGAAATATTTTCCTCTGACATCTTTACTTTTAAAACAGCTGGGTATCTTCCCTTGTGATAAAACTTTCAGATGCTTAAAGAGGGAGAAATACTCATTAATTTTTATATGTTACATTTCAGTAGTTGCATAAAGATTGAAGGATGAGAGGCAGATGAAGTATTTTTGTACATACTGCTACATAAAAGCTGTGCCTCCAAAACATCATAATTCCATGCTAAGAGAATTCTGTATTTTCCACATATATATGTACATATTGTAGGAGCAATACCAAGCACTATCTGAATTGCTAACTGCATTTAAACCCTTCTCAAAGAACTCATCCACATTAATTCAGGGCAAATAAATCAAGCCTGTGTCACACACGAAGGATCTTCTCTATAACATTACTACAAATATTTCAGCATTTAAAAGATTTATTTTTGTAATAATAGACCAGAAGAAAAGTAAAAACCCAAAGTTATTTCGGATGTGTTAACATCCGATTTCATCAAATAACCTTGACTAATCTCTGTAATGAATCCTGCACTTCATTTGCAAATTGTCCTTCCAAAAGTGCTGAGGAAATCTATGTTAAATAAACCCCCTGCTCCAACCCCTGCTGTAAGGCAAGACACTCCTCAGAGTGTCATATATTGATGAATAAAGTCATTTTTACATTTATAGCACAGCCTGGTGTGCACAAGATAAAAATCTGTATCTACCTTCCTGGTCAAAGCAGCCTTGTCATGATGAAAGTATGTCCTGATATTTGATGTCTGAGTAAAGCTGGGCGCTGCACAGGAGGCTGAAATCTAAGATCATTCCCTTTTCCATTTAACCCCTTGGATATTGACTTCAGTTTGTTCAGGAAGGCTCCAACCTGTCAGGAATAAGCCTGGTGCTCTTGCAGCCTTCCTCAGTTATTCTATTACTTTTTGGCTGAAAAAAGGGAAAACTGATCACAGGAAAAGCTGTTAACACTGTTCCAATGCTTCTTCCAAGGAAATACTTTAAATATAGAACATCCTTCTTCCAGCTCAATGTACAAACATTACAAACTCTGCTCCAGCAAGTGCTTCCTACTAACTTTGTTAATGGAAGTGGCTCGATGCTTTTTATCTTCATTTCCCAACTACTGCAGGAAAAGCTTTGATAAATAAGTCCCATGTAAAAGAATCAGCATATGAGCAAAGCTCTGCTGGATGTAAGGGGTTGTGCGTTTAAAAAATAAATTACTAAGTTAGAAAGAAAAGCATGCTGAGGGTTATAAGTGTGTCTGGGAGCTGCAGTTCCTGGATTTCTTATAAAACAAGGATGACATTACTACTTAGAGATTTGCATATATGCCAGTACTTTAAAAACAAGTAAACTGCATTGAAACAAGCTCAAAAGATGGATTGTTGAAAGTGCAGGGGAGAGGATGAAGGATGAACTTGAGGAAAGGACCACATTTGTCCAAATATTTGGAAATATTGCATAATTTACACTTACAGCACCAGCCTAATGCACTTTGTCATTGTGCCCCAGAATACAGAGTATTAAAAGTCCTGTTCCTTGAATTATGTGAATTTCTGCCACAGGGAATGTAGGGGAATAAATGAGACAAAATACTCATGCCTTGTGGAAAAGCAGAGACTCTGAATTATCAATAAGCAGTTTTAGCATCCCTAAATTTTCCATCCCTAAATTCTTAGCCTGCAACAACTAAGATTTCCTTACTGGGATCTCAAAAGAACATTTTAACTAGAGCTGGACAAATAACTCCATGAAGTTAATTGACTAAAATTAGGATTTCTTGGCTGCAGCTGAGTCATACTTCGCAAAATCAACTCTCCGTTGATTTGTAACCCAGAACTGACCTCAGAGAATGATTCCATGATGGGGTCACCTTTACCAGCAACCTGAAATAGGCATGCAGGACCTGAAATTTTTGCTTTTAGGACTGAGCACAAAGTTGATTTGATATCTGTTTGCTCAGTGACAGAAAACAGTCGAATTCCTTCCCAAAGTTTCTGAACAACCTGAAATTCCACACCCGAATTCAAAGATGCCCTATCATGAGGTTTAGTCAATTCTGAGTTAAACCTTGGCAAAAGCTCTGAGGTAAATGTCCTCAAAAGTACTGCAAGTATCCCTTTTCTAATGTCACTAACACTGGAAATTGAATTTATCCATACTACCCATTCTGAAAAACAGACAAAAAAGGCTTTACCTCTGCTGCATATGTACCACTCTAGGGTCCTGTTCCTCCTCCTCACCACAGCCACATTGAGAGAGTGAAAACTGGCTGGACTCCAGCTCGAGAAGGATCAGAGTCAAAAAGAAAAAAAAAAAAAAAAGGAAAAATAATGCAAGGTGACTTCCACTTCACTCACTTGGCTCAGAGGCTGCTGATCCCACCCTGCAGGCACACAGATCCCTGGTCCTGCGAGCAGCTGCTGAGCCAGGTGTGCTCAGAAAGGAGGAAAGAGCAGCAGGAGAGCAGCCAGGAGTGCTCAGCATGCGAGGGAAAGGGAAAACTCGGCTCTGTCTCCGGGAGAGGGGTGGCAGGGAGCCAGCAGAGAGCATCTGCATCAGGGAAACCCAGTCACCCTGGCAACCAGGGGGAGGGCAGAGCCATCGCCAGGGCCAGCAGAGGGGATGGGAGGGGGAGCTTGGAGTAGGGGATGCAGCTGACAACGAAATAAATCCTCCTTTATTTAGTTGTTATAACTGACACACTCCAGAATGTGCAAAACGCCATAAAAACCCACCCAGATGTAGCCAAACGTTTCTGTAAGTTTATATTATATATGGACACGATGTGAATTGCAGCCCAGAGAGAGCAGTCCCAGGTGAAGGGTGAGCAAAAAGTTCAGGAGAAATGTGGAGTAGCAAAGGAACAGCTCTGGTGAGCTCAAGTTTGAGTCTGACCATGAAATAAATATACAAAAAGTTTTATTATTTATGAGGCTAAGGAAAGAGGAGTCATCAGTAACAAGGTTATGTTAGTTAGGAATAAGACAACAGAATTATCACATTTTCCAGTGGAAATATATCCTTGTCCATGATATTTGTATCAGCTCTTTATGGAGTTCAAACCGTCTGGTAAAAAAGAAGACTTAATATCATCAACATGTGGTAATCAAGGCATGTAGGGATAGAAAAAAAGGCATATTTAGAGGTGAGGAAATCTGTTATTGATCTGAACAGGCAGCCTGAGAGAACTGCAAATCTGAGCTGGAGACCAAGCATACAGGATAGGAAAGCTGAAGTGACAAAATTCACCAGTATTACCCTCAAATGAAGAAATTCAGATCATCCCACTAGAGACTGCACAGAAGTCCCATCAAAGCCCCCCAAAAGTCCCAGTCCCACATAAGAGTTACAGCCAGGATCTAAGAGGGGTCACTGAAACAGCCACTGCTCAGCACATCCAACCCAAAGGAAAAAAACATCCTTACACCAGCCAACTGTGGGATAAAACCACTGCAGAAGGGCCTGGAGAGGGAGAACACTTTGAAGTACTCTTGGGACTTCCCTTGGGATGAGATATTTCATTTAATGAGTCCCTAAAATTGCCATCCTCCAGAGAAATGACTCAGCAGAATGGCTACAGCAAGGTCTGTCCTTAGGGGAGGCAGCAAATTAAGGTCAGGGAGAAGAAAACCCCCAGATATTTCCATTCCCTGACCTTGTTACTACTAATTCTTGTGTTTGCTCTTAACTGACCTTGAGAAGCTCGGAATTGCTTTAGGTATTTTATAGGACCTAATAAAACAAAATCATCATAAGCTGCAGCCGCTGTTGTTTCATGTGAAGGTTTTATCCTGAAACAGAATACTCATTTTTAAAAAGCTTCTTTTCCTGAGATCATTTGATTATGTGAAATCCAAGTTCCTTTTAAAAGAGTAAGTTTCTAGTCTCTGGTTGCACTTAGAATCCAGAAAACATGAACAGATGAGGAGAACCCAGTACTTAATACATAGAGCCACTTTTAAATTATTTTTTATATTCTACACCATTATTCTGGAGGCCCTGATTAGTTTTTTAATGCTTGATGTCGCTGAATTTTTCTGTATGATGCTGAAGAATATTTGGCTTGCACACTGGGGGAAAGTGCCAAGAAACAGGTTTTCTTTAAAACTGGAATAATTTTACTTTATGGGGGAAAAACCTAATTTATTTGCCTTACTGTGAAGGGAAAGAAAATGTAATGCTCATTTAAAGTGTAATACTATAAAGGCATATGTGTAATACATGCCCATCTATAAATATACTGCAATATACATATGACTTGAAAATACTTGGAACAAAATAAAGCTGGATGTGCTTTGGCTTTATTGCATCTGCTCAAGCACTTTATTCTGGGTTCTTATCAGGTCACTTTCTGCAGACAATCCCTCTCTTAAATTGTCCAAGCATCCAGTGCAATTCTGATTTTTTTTCTGACCATTTTCATCAGCAAGGAAAGTAGGAAAATGTGCTTCACTGGAGCACCAAAAACCTCCTGGTCTGGGTGTACCCAGCACAGTGAAACCCAGATATTTATGTGCTTCACGGACTGAATTAGTTAAATGAGTAATGATTGAAGAAAGGTTAAATAAAAAGCCATTAAACAGCAGAAAGCAGAATAGTCAGGCCTGGGACTTTGATATATATTTATGAATCATTGTTTTATGGGATCTGCCCTGTTTTGAGGCCAGAAACTTTGAGCTTGGAAATGGCACTGTCATGTTAAGACCCTGATTTCAGAGTTCCACATGATCAGTGACCATTTCCCAGGCATCCACCCCCAGAACTGCAGAGTTCAGCACTGACCCTGTCCTGTGCAGCTCTGATAAAGTTCCTGTCACTGCAGCCCTGCTCTGCACAGCCAGAAGGGCACTGCAGGGGTGGGCACTGCTGGCCACCAGCTCACCCCCCTGCCACACAAAATCAGCGTCTGCACAAACCCTGGATCCTGCCTGGCTTGCCAAAGCCGGTGCCCAGTGTTCAGAAAGCACAATTAGACATTATTTGTTTGCCTTGTGTCCACCCTCTCTTGGCTGTGTCCCAGCAGTGCTGAGGCTCTGAGCTTTGCACGTCATCCTGGGGGGACCCCCAGCTGTTCCAGCTGTTCCAGCTGTTCCAGCTGTTCTGCACTGGCCACTGCACCAACAGCTGTGCAGTGTGCCAGCACGTGGCCCTCGCTGGGAATCAGGATTTCTTCCCCTCCTGCTGCTTTCAGGGCTGTAATAGTTATAAAAGCCTGCTCACTCCCCTCACCTGGCTCTCCTCAAGGGGCTCAGCACAGGTGAGTGTTTAATGATAATAATTTAGTAAATGCTCGTTTTGGGAAGATGGGTGTTGCCTTTCACAGAGGCACTTCATCTCTGGGAAACTCTGAAACTAATTTATCCTCCAAGTTCCTTCCCACAGTGGCAGCACCTCTCATTAGCACCAGTATCTTTCATTAAAACAGATTCGGGACGCCCTGTACTCCAGAGTTACAATATAACTAATATAATATTTTATAATATAAAATAAGGAGGAATTTCTGCTCTGAACAATTTACAATCCAGTGAAAAAAAGAAACAAAGAAACAGTACCAGGCAAAATGCTTTGACCAGCAGTAAAACTGCCAGTTGAAGGTTTTCCTCCCTAGTCCAAATAAATTCCTGATCATTTTGGCTATACTGCTCTTCACAGTTACAAAATTGTCTGTTAGATTCCTTACTAGAAAAAACAAGAAAAAGTTTGTTTTTCACATCTTTCTGCTGACACCAACACTTCGGAGTCACCAACTGGTTTAAATCAAAATCAGATTCTTCAGACTGACTGTCACAGTGTTTGCAGACTAAAGTTTAAAAGTTAATTGTAACATTTTATTTTAGGTACACTTCTACCCCAGAGGGGATAATTATTTGTTGGACACAGAGCATTAATTTCTTTCTCTGTTCTTTCTAATGTCCATATTAATACAATACCAGTATCAGTATCAGTTTAGTTTCCTCAAATGCTGTAGTTGTAGTAATTGTTTTCTTAAGTCCAGGCTTCTTTTCCATCAGGTAGAACAAGTGGGAACTCACTGTGTTCTCAGAATACACAGCGCTGCTTTAACAAGCTCATCATTCCCTAAATCAGGTTAAAGTCTCTTTCTCAGCAGGCTGTAACCTTCTGATTTTATTGCATCAGGCTGAAACCATAAATCCAGGTGCTGATGTGATCCATAACACAGGGTTTTCAAGCTCTCCCTCCCCATCATTTGATTCAGCAGAGCGTGGTTTAATTATTCAAACAGCAGCGTCAATGCGGCCGCAGTGATTCAGCACTACCTGCAGCACTGCAGCTGGATCCCGGAGCTCAGGTATGCAGGGAACACAGCTTGGCACCACATTTCCTAACCAAGCCATCACTGCACAGCCAAAAGGGATTTCTGCCCTGTATCTGCTCATTTCCTGCTGCCAACGGGATAAGAACAGCTTGGAGCCAGCTGGGTAGCTCAGTTCCCTACACCCAGGTCTTGCTCTGCCTCTGCTCCTTCCTAAACCTTCTCTAGACTTGCAGCCTCCCCTCTGTTCCCACTGCCTTGGGTCTGGGGGAAGAACCAAAGCTCGTTTTTTCACCATCCCATTAGTTTGTATTTTTCACACAAAGGGAATTGCTCAGGGAGAAGCTCTAGACCAGGATGCACTGCCCAGGTGTCACTGAGAAATGCAAAAAGCTGGAAAACAGCCCCCCACACAGGAAATGGCAACCTTGGGCTTAGAGAGGGAAATTCCTGCTGGTTTTACTTCCAAATCCTGCACCTAGAGGGTGATTTGGCTGATTTTGGCCAAAGGGCCAGGCTGCAGGAAGAGCAGTCCTGCTGGGATAAGTGCTGGACAGCACAGGCTGGCAGAAGGCAGCTCGGGAGCTGCAGGACAGGCTGATCCCATCTGCTGCCACTCTGGTGGACGCTGGCCTCTGTCCACAGAGCAGTGTGTGCATCACAGGAAGGATCTGGGCAGCAGCTTGACTGTGCCAAACAAAACCTGCCCCTGCCAGGATAAATTTAGCAGATGTGAACCATGACCTTGCATCAGCCACGGAGCTCCTGGTGTGAACAGTGACATTCTGGCAGCCTGTCCTTCCACTGCAGAGGGATGAGAAGGTGCAGGTCATGTTTTTGGGGAAGCTCCTCTAGGATTCCAAGAGGATAGAGCTCCCTGAGCTCCTTCCCTGCCTGGTTCTGGCTCCATTAGGTGTGGGTCGCTGAGCACAGGGCAGCCTTTCCTTGGGAGCAATCACTGCTGCAGCTCGGGCAGAGCTGGCTGGGAGCAGGGCTGGGATCCTTTCAGCCCATTGCTCATCTGCTTTATGATGATGAGCCACCTGGTTCCCAGAAACATGCCCTGGAAATAGCAGTGTTTGCATACAGGGGCTCAGTCATGGCTTCTAGCTGGGTTCAAGGACTTCTATCAGCTTGGCTTCATAAATAACACGAGATTCCTTTCTCACAAGTGTGCTGT